ATAGGAAAATTAAAGCCATATGTAGCCAATATCGCAATGAATTTATGGGGTCGTGACGTATTACAACAATGGAATACCCAAATTAACATTCCTGCTACTTCTAGAGCCTATATTTCTGAGAATAATATTAAAAGATATTACAAACGGAGAAAACCGGCCATTCAGGCTGTGCAAGAACAAGTAATTGATGTCCTTTCAGAGATACCAACAGCCTTGCCTCTAAAATGGTTGACTGAGAAACCAATATGGACAAAGCAATGGCCTTTAGCTGAGGAAAAGTTACAGGTTTTAGAACAGCTGGTACAAGAACAACTAGATGCTGGACATATAGAAGAATCTACCAGCCCTTGGAATTCTCCTGTATTTGTGGTTAAGAAAAAATCAGGTAAATGGAGAATGGTGACAGATCTCAGGGCCATCAACAAGGTTATTCAACCTATGGGCCCTCTGCAATCTGGAATTCCTTTGCTCTCTTTATTACCAAAAGGATGGCCTCTCATAGTTATTGATTTAAAGGATTGTTTTTTCACTATACCTTTGCAAAAGGAAGATAGAGAAAAATTTGCCTTCACAGTGCCTACTTATAACAATTCTCAACATTCGAGGAGGTACCACTGGACCGTCCTCCCCCAGGGTATGTTAAATAGCCCCTCCCTGTGCCAATATTTTGTGAACCAACCATTGCAAATAATACGCAAGAAATTTCCCAAATCTGTAGTATACCATTACATGGATGACATTTTGTTATCCGATTCAAACATGAATACCTTGAAAAGACTGTTTGAAGAAATAAAGATACTTTTACCTAAATGGGGATTGCAAATTGCTCCTGAAAAGATTCAGAAGGGAGATTCTGTTAATTATTTAGGTTAAAAAAAATAGGTTTGCAAAAAATTAAGACACAAAAAGCACAAATTAGGAGAGATCGCCTACGGACTCTTAATGACTTTCAAAGACTGTTAGGAGACATTTCCAGTCTACGACCAGCTATTGGAATAACACCTGATCTAATAATTCATTTGAACAAAACCTTGGATGGTGATAAAGATTTAAACAGTCCCAGAGAATTAACAGCTGAAGCAGAAAAGGAACTGACAATGATTGAGGAAAAATTACAACAGGCACATGTGGACAGGGTGAATCCAGAGCTCAATTGTATTCTCGTCATACTACCATCAAAAATTTCTCCTACAGGAATTTTAGTGAAGAGAGATGATATTATTTTGGAATGGATCTTTTTACCACATAAACCAAGTAAGAAACTGAAAACTTATGTGGAAAAAGTCTCTGAGTTAATTATAAAAGGCAAGCTGAGACTTTGTCAACTAGCAGGCACAGGCTTTGCCCTATGTACATAACACACATCCGATCCCATATGGGTCTGCCAGGTCCTCTAGCACAAGGTAATGCCGAAACTGATCAATTATTGATTGGTAGTGTGCTACAAGCCTCTGAATTTCATAAAAAACATCATGTTAATAGCAAAGATTTGAAGAAAGAGTTTTCTATTACATGGCAACAAGCTAAGGAGATTGTAAAGAAATGCCCTACCTGCTCTTTCTATAACCAAACGCCACTGCCTGCAGGGGCTAATCCGAAGGGCACCCATAGGAATGAAATCTGGCAGATGGATGTGTTCCACTTTGCAGAATTTGGCAAATTGAAGTATGTTCATCACACCATTGACACTTATTCAGGCTTTCAGTGGGCAACTGCTTTAAGTTCAGAAAAAGCTGATTCAGTAATCACTCATTTATTAGAAGTCATGGCTATCATGGGTATACCTACACAAATAAAGACGGATAATGGTCCTGCTTATGTCTCTAGGAAAATGAAATGGTTTTTTGATTATTACAATATCGAGCATGTTACAGGTATACCATACAATCCTACAGGTCAAGCAGTCATAGAAAGATCAAATCGAACTATAAAGGATATGTTGAACAAACAGAAAGGGGTGGAAAACACCCCCAGAAATAGGTTACATAATGCTTTGTTAACCTTGAATTTTCTCAACGCTAATGAGAAGGGAACAATGGCTGCAGAAAGACATTGGATAATGGAAAAGTCTACTGAACTAAATCAACCAGTTTATTTCAAGGATGTACTGACCTCACAATGGAATCCAGGAGATGTGCTGTGTTGGGGAAGGGGTTTTGCTCTTATCTCCACAGGTGAGGAAAAATTGTGGATACCGTCAAAATTTATAAAGGTTCAGTTTGAAGAAGAGAAGCCACTTGGAAAAGATAAATAACAATTCTTTCATAAGGATGGTGAGCATACTGATGGTAAGAAATACAGATAGGTTGGAGGAAGGGTTCTTTTCTTATCTCCACAGGAAAATACTCATCTTCAAAGAAATTAAGGGACCCTGAATAATTAATTATTGATGGTTGGACACATTTTGTAAGTATTAATTTATATATATATATATATGTCTTATTAAACATTTCTTTATAAATATGTAGAGCTGGTTTTGAAGTTGGACTCTGGCTCAGTCCCTCTCCAATTCCAAGCCTCTTGGTAAGAGAAAAACCCAGAGTTTCTGGAGTTTCTGTCTCATGTCAAGAGCCATGATATGGGACAGAAAGAAATATGAGTTTAGAAAACATCTTTGCTTTTCTTCATATCCATCATACTTTTCATTGAACATATATATCATACCTTTCATTGAATATATATATATATATATATATATGATTAATGTTTAAGTTTTTCACAATGAACAATGAGGTTTTCCTGAAGTGACATTTGAAGTCTCCAGGAAGAACATGGGGCCCCACAACAACAACTCTACCTGGTTGATATGACATCATGATACTGATAGTGCTACTACAAGACCTGTTTTGGATACCAGCTGCACAAGACGATCCCAACTTGGTTAGCTGAAATGGTGCACATCTTGTACAACATTCTGGCCAGACCTCCACAAAATACTATTTGCAATTTTAAAAGACATTGATCTTGAAATTTAACCATCATTTTACTTTCACAGGATCCCTCAGAAAGAACGTCGCCCCCATGACAGCTGGAAGTAATTCTAGAGGACAACGTCCCCTCTCCCAGTAAAGTTTGCCCCTAGGTTTAGGGACATCATTTAGGGGTTGGGAGGTTGGGGGAGGAAATTTATAAGTTCAGGGATCATTTTGAAAAAAAAAGGGGGGGAATGATGGGATAATAGATTTTATCATTGTGAGTTATTGCTTTTAGACAAATATATTGGTATTGATTCTTGTATATTGATACAAAGTTAAATTATACTGACCATTATGTGCATGCATGTTTCTATCTCTAAAACATTTTTTACGTATTGACATATATTGTATTGATAAATATATATTGAATATAAGCAGCTCCTGCAGAGGGCAGGGGTGCACGTGCATGCTCACATGGGTAGAGATCCTACAGAGAGACATGCTCATGCAAATGGGGCAGCAGCAAATAATTGTCTTCTTGCAGTTAAAGAGCTGCAGGGATGTGAAACAAAAAATCTTTGATTGTGTCCAAAAAAGTTAAAAGTGATCCATCACATCTGGGATGAGCTTAATTCTCATAAGGGTTTCCAAACAGAAGTAACAATTGTATGTCAGCACAACTTGAGAAGTTTTTGAAGCATTCCAGTGAAAGAATGTCTTCACACAAATGCCCACGTGAGCATGCGCATGCTCTACTGCCCTCTTATTTGAAAGGGAAGAAATCAGGAGTATAAATACCCCCACCAGTGTTGAATAGGACAGGTGCATATTGAATTGGCATATGGCTCATCTATGGCTTCTTAGGATCAGGGGGCATCAAAGGAGATTTTGAATGAGGGAATTTGTTAAACTTTAATCCCTGATCATGAGCAATATCAGAGATGGGCAGGATTTCATACTGAAGGATTCATTACTTTAGTACTCACTTGGAGAAGGGTGGAATGTGGGGCTTTATTATTTGGTTGTATTTTGAGAGTGTATTTCTTTCACTGGCACTTTTTAATATTTGGGCTGTTTTCAGGGAGATGTTCTTTCTTTAACTAGTTCTAGATTCAGAGAAAAAGTGCTTTCCTTTGGCTCTGCTTTCAGGTCCAAGGTGTGTTTCTTTGACTTGCCCTTTCTCCTACTCCTAAGGCTACAAAAAAGGTTATGCCCATTAGTTTGCTGGTTCAAACAAAATAAAAAGAGATATCATAGTGCTTGAACAGATTTTTACACTATCCATTTTTTCTACACAATAACCGATGTTGGTTGACTGTGTGTGTTGGCTTAAGATCTTTAAAAAATAAGTTAGAATAAGCCCTCAGTTTCTTCCATAGGTACAAATGATTAGGGTAATATGCATAAGCTTTATCAGATTGATTACACACAAAAGTATGAGGTACAAAACATTAAAATACTAAATTCACATATAGAGTATTACTATAGTATGATTTTTCTCATGGTTTAAAGAATACCAAATTAGGGGCTGGAGAGATGGCTCAGAGGTTAAGAGCATTGCCTGCTCTTCCAAAGGTCCTGAGTTCAATTCCCAGCAACCACATGGTGGCTCACAACCATCTATAATGGGGTCTGGTGCCCTCTGCTGGCCTGCAGGCATGCACACAGACAGAATATTGTATACATAATAAATAAATAAATAAATATTTTTAACAAAAAAAAAAGAATACCAAATTAAATTTATAGAGCTTTTCTAAAGGATGGTTTATTTTATGTATTTGCAGATGATTGTGACAAAGGATTTACCACAGATTCAATTGACAGTTATCTCTCCAGACTGTGTTCTTTTATGCATTTGAAAATGAATAAGATGTGAAAAGTCTTCCTTACATTGATATACATTCAAAAAGTTTCCCTACACTGTGTGATCTCTTATCCTTGAATAGTACAGTGGTCTTCAAAGACCAAACCACACGGATTACATTCATAGGGGTTCTCTCTACTCTGTGATTCTTTGTACGATTGAAGATGACTGTGTTTTGCAAAGGCCTTACCACACTGATTACATTCATAAGGTTTTTCTCCAGTATGTGTTCTTTTATGCACGTGAAGATGACTGTGACGTGCAAATGCCTTAACACAATGATTACATTCATAGGGTTTCTCTCCAGTATGTGTTCTTTCATGTGTTTGAAGAGCACTGTGTTGAGTAAAGACCTTACCACACTGATTACATGCATAGGGTTTCTCTCCAGTATGTGTTCTTTTATGCAATTGAAGACTATTTTGATACGCAAAGGCCTTACCACACTGATTACATTCATAAGGTTTCTCATCAGTATGTGTTTTTTTATGCTTTTGAAGAGTACTGTGAGCTGCAAAGGTCTTACCACACTGGTTACATTCATAGGGTTTCTCTCCGGTATGTATTCTTTTATGCATTTGAAGAGTACAGTTTTCAGCAAAGGCCTTACCACACTGATTACATTCATAAGGTTTCTCTCCAGTATGTGTTTTTTTATGCTTTTGAAGAGTACTGTTTTCAGCAAAGGCCTTACCACACTGATTACATTTATAAGGTTTCTCTCCAGTATGTATTCTTTTATGCACTTGAAGATGACTGTGCCATGCAAAGGCCTTACCACACTGATTACATTCATGAGGTTTTTCTCCAGTATGTGTTCTTTTATGCCTTTGAAGATCACTGTGACGTGCAAAGGCCTTACCACACTGATTACATTCATAGGGTTTCTCTCCAGTATGTGTTCTTTTATGACTTTGTAGATGACTGTTTTGTGCAAAGGCCTTACCACACTGATTACATTCATAGGGTTTCTCTCCAGTATGTATTCTTTTATGCTTTTGAAGTTCAGTTTGACATGCATAGGCCTTACCACACTGATTGCATTCATAAGGTTTCTCTCCAGTATGTGTTCTTTTATGACTTTGATGAGTTTCAAAAAGAACAAAGTCTTTATCACCTTGACTATATTCATAGGGTTTATTTCCAGTGTGTTTTCTTTTAAGCACTTGAATATAACTGTGATAAGGAGAGGCTTTCCCACACTGCTTAATTTTAGACCATTTTTCTCCAGTATGTGTTTTTTCATTCTTTAGAAAGTGGGTGTCATCAGAAAAGGCTTTAACACATTGAGTATATACTGAAAGTTTCTTCTCACCATTTTGGCTTCTTTCAATCCTGCAAGGATAATTGACACATTTAAAAGCTTTACCACATTCAATACACTGTTGAACCTTATATCTGTATGAATTTATTTTGTAACTTGTTCCGATTCTAAATAGGAATTAGTTATTAAGGTTTCATAACTCTGTTTAAAATCATGTTTGCTTTTTAAGTTGGGGTCAGTTTGCATCTAGGAAAATAAGTATGATGATAAATTCCTTTGTTTCATGGTTTACCTTTTCACATTTACAAAAATATTTTTATATGATATTATTCACACTTTTGAAGACAACTGAATACACTGAGAGCTTTACCAACTTTACTGCATTCATAAATTTTACTATACTGTGTGTCTTATATCCTTTGCTAAGTGAACTAGGACATTCAGAAGTATTGGCACATACTTAGATTTCATTGGGCATTTTTGTAACGTTTTTATATTAATAATGAGTGTAGAAAACCATCAGTATTGTATACTTGAATCAAATTTTACAAGTATACTCTATGTGGAAACTACTGCCTATCTTCTTTTTGTTCTTAAGGAGAGGTATGTTTAATCTTTCCATGTCTCTATGCTCATAAGCTTATATCAAGTGTAGTGTCTGATACACATAGGAAAGGAAGAATAATTCATATACATGAAATTGAGGTATATGGATTTGTGAGTATTTAATAACCATCTACGCACTTAAAGCTGTGCTTATTTGCATTGCTGCTTTTATTTAAAAGTTCTAGGAGAAAGTGCAGTCTCATCAGAGGCACATTGTTATCAATTTGCACTTGAAAATTACCTTGCATGTCTTCTAGAACATTGCCAATGTTCTTCAGTGTTATGGTCTTCCCAAATGCATCCTAAAATACAGGACCAGAATATATGTTGTATCATTTAACAATGTGCAATATTTAGCTTATTATCTTAAGTGCACCTAAGAAATATGACTGCTGTATTCTCCTCATTCTTCTTTTTAAATCAAATTGCAGAACAATATCCTCAACCATGGAAAAGTTGTTTCCACATTTTGAAACATGAAGGAAATTCATTTTTACCTATAGAAATGAGGTTCTTGTACATTTCCAGCATTACATCCTTATAGAGATTCTTCTGGGAAGGATTCAGCAAATCCCACTCTTCCCGGGTGAAGGTGATGTGCACATCATCATAGGTCACTGCCTTCTAAAATACACCACACATGTGTAAAATGGAAAGCACCACAGTGACAAAGATGGAAATGCATACTTTTTTCAGGGTATAGATAGATGATTCTGGTGTTCCTTACTCGTATGCCATGTCATAGACAGTCACTATAGAGGGAAATTGAAGAGCAGAGTCAACTCTGTCATAAGAGCAAGGTCTATTGAGAGGAAGAGACAACAAAAAAGATCAACACCATATAGTATGCATGAGAAAATTGTATGAAGAGTTACAGACCACACAAAAAAAGTAATATGTACACCCTGGGTGTATTGTTGTATTGTGCCTTTAAACACAACACCCAGAAAACAGAGGTGGGTATATTTGTCTCTAAGTTGAATGCCAGTCAAGTCTATGCAATCAATCAGGTCCAGGACAGGTGGAAGTACTCATTAAGACACTGTCTCCAGTGTAAAAATCAGTGAAACAAACAAATGGGATAGAAAGAACTGAAAGGCTTTTATTGAAGTTCTTCTAAATAATTTTCCATTCACTCCAGTTCTATATTCATTTTCCAGATATCTGAAGTGTATAATTTAAACTGTAAGTCTAATAACATTTTGTAGAAAGGAACTTCATGTGTAAAGCAGTTAAAATGCACAGATGAAAACACTAGAAATATACATGTTTGTCATGAATAATCAACAAAGAGATGGAGAGAAGGTAGAGTAATTCAGAGTTCTTGCTGGTCTTGAATGGAGCTGGACACATTTTCCAGTACTTACATGGGGATCACAACTTTCCATTGTTTTATGATGAGGAATACTGAGATCTTTAGATCACCTTGATGATCAGGTACCCAGGTAATGAATATCCATGAAGACATATAAAATAGTCATATTGATTTAAAAAAATCAAATCAAGCATAACAAATCAGAATAAGTTCATGCACCTGCAATTAACTGACTCAGGCAGTATTAATAATCATAAATACATGGTATCCTGGGAATCAGAGTGATACCCTCTTGCAATTTTTAAAATTCAATCTATATGTGAAGCTCAGCACAGCAGCATATACTTGTCATATAAAAAAACCCTATATTCAAGGGCTATCACCCAATAATATAAAAATGTATAGAGCCAGAAATGATGCCCCCCTTTACTTTCAGGAATTTGGAGAGCCACAGTAAGGGCTACTTAGACAAGCAAACAAAGCAATTAAAATAGCATGTTGCCAAACTCCTTAATAGCAACTGTTTCTGCTATATCTCATTTTTACCTATAGAATATAGGTAAGATATAGAATGTAGAGATCAAACCTATAATGATGGCAAAAAAATTTCCATAGAAGTAGGAAGTTGGCTGATTAATGTTAAGCACAAAACAGTAGATACAAGTGTTAGAAAATTAGTTCATGGTATTGAGACTCATTATGTATAATGAGGAATATCATCTAGACAGGCTTCTCCTACTAAATATTTACAGGAAGTTGAAAGAAAGCCACCAAGGAGAGAAACTTGTTCAAATACGTGATCTTTTCTGGGAGGTTGTTCATTCAATCAAGTTCATTCTGACCTCAGCCACTATTGGTTCATGGTCAACAATGGAAAAATTGCATTTTGTCATTTCAAGGATAGACATGTAATGATCCTCATCTGCAATGGTCCCTACACTGTCCAAATGTGTAATGCCATCTGGCACTCAAGATAATCTGTTCACAGCAACATCTTATAAAACCTGAAAACACGTTACCTCCTTCTAACATCAATGGTACAAAATCCCATTAACATTCCAAAAGAGAAAAATAAAGACACAGTGAGGGAAGATTCAACCAAGGCAAGACTGAAGCTGAGCAGGACAAACATCAAATCCTGTAGCTCCCTTGTCAGATGGATGGCTTCAGTTTCAAATGACTTAAACGGCCTTGTCCTTGCAAGTTCTCCAGCACTTCTCTCTTTGGAAACTTCCCATCACTATAAGTGGCTAGTTCTCCATGGAAGTTGTGTCATACCTTAGGTATCTTAACATCTTTGGGCTCAAAATGGAAACCACTGTGTTGTGAAATCACATTTTTAAATGTGTTATATTTATTTTTGCTGTGGAACGTTTGTTTTAATGATGCAAAGAATTGCTGCATTGGTTTAGCTCTGTGAAGCTGTGACAGTTTGCCTATCTAAAATAACTGGTTATTCTAAAACAATTGAATGACCTGTCACATGACAAGAAAGGACAGGCAGGGCTGCCAGGAAAAGAGAATCAATGGGAGGGAAAATCTGGGAGGAAAACAGAAAGAAGAGGCAACAAAAGGAGAGAATAACAGGAGCCTTTAATACAGCTACACAGCAAGCCATGGAGTAAGAAACAAAGAGAGGAATACAGAATAAAGATAAAGGCCAGGGGGAAATTGTAGAGAGAACAATTAAGTTAAAAACAACCTGCCTTGAAACAAACCAAAGTCAAGCATTTATAAGAAAAAAAATAAGCCTCCATGTGTGAAATTTAATTGACAACTGGTGGCAGGCCCTAAAGGAACAAGAGAGGAAAAGAAACCACACCATACCCAGCTTCAATCCTCACAGCTTCATGCAATGAACTCTCACTGTCTCCTCACTGGGCTTCTGTCTCTGCCAAACACAGATGCCTGCAATAATGGTAAACTGTAACCATGGGCTAAAAAGCCATGATCTTAAATTTTGATTCTTTCATGTTCCCAAGACCAACACATTACTGGTGATGCTGAGAAGCAGGGTTTTCTTTAATGCAATGAACACTAATGAGCTTGACCACAGGTGCAGAAGGTTTTGAATGAAGTAGCTTCCTGTGTCTATGAATCAATTTGCTCAACCATCCCTAAATTGAAGGTTTCTGTATTTGGAGTCTTACCCTTAGGGCACCTTGATAAGCTTCCACTGCACAGTAATGGCTTTTCTGTAATGATAATAAACTCTTTGAAAATTCCTGCCTGTATTAACACATAAAGCCCTTTGAAGCTACATTTTTATTTTCATTTATTTCTGCCCTACCTGGGTACTTTTACTCTACACCTAAAAGAGTCATCAGTGATAACCATTGAACATCTTCAATATTCCATTAAAGACATTAGCCCATTACATTTTAATTTGGCATTACTAAATTTCTAGAGCATAGGCAGAATAAAAAAAATTTGGAGCTAAAATATCCACAAAAGTCTGGATGGTGGCGACACACAACTTTAACCCCAGCACTGGGGAGGCAGAGGCAGGTGAATCCCTCTGAGTTTGAGGCCAGCCTGGTCTACAAGAGCTAGTTCCAGTTGTTCCAGGACAGGTAGGACTGTTACACTGGGAATCCCTGTCTTGGAAAACAAAAAACAAAACAAAACAAACAAACAAAAAAAAACAGACAAAAGACTTCAGATTTGGTATTTTTTGTTTGTTTGTTCTTTTTGTTCTTTGGGACAGGGTTTCTCTGTAGCTTTAGAGCCTGTCCTGGAACTAGCTCTTGTAGAACAGGCTGGTCTCGAACTCACAGAGATCTACCTCCCTCTGCCTCCCAAGTGCTGGGATTGAAGGCGTGTGTTACCACTGCCCGGTGTGCTTGGGTTTTTTTAATCAAGTTTATTTTCAACTGAAATTCTATGATCTCAATACCCACTTTCTGCCATTACCTTTTCATTTTCTTGGTCTTACAAGAACAGTTAATTATGTTCAAGTTTCTATTTTTTGTCACATAAAAATCTTGATATCTGCCTCAGTTGGTAGACGAACCCCTCATGGTCCTGACTTCTTTGCTCATCTTCTCCCTCCTTCTGCCTTTCAACAGGACCTTGGGAGCTCAGTCCATTCCTCTGATGTGGGTCTCTGTCTCTATCTCCATCCATTGTTGGATGAAGATTCCATGGTGATATTCAAGATAATCATCAGCATTACTGTGGGGCAAGGACTGTTCAGCCACCCTCTCCCCTGCTGTTCAGGCCCTAGCTGGGGACATCCCAATGGACACCAGGGATCCCCTCTAGAGCCAAGTCACTTGCCAACTTTAAAATGGATGCTTTAATGTAGCTATCTTCTTCCCTGCTCCTACATCAGCCCTTCCTCCATCTCCACCCTCCACCTCCCATAAGCTATTGGCAGTCCTTCCCTTCTCCCTTCCCTCTCCCCGTCTCCCCTTTCCCCCAACCTCACTCCCATGCCTGTCCCCTCCCCCATGGTCACAACTTTTGCCCTGCAATCTTGTTTGCTTCCAATTTCCAGTAGGATCTATAAATATTTTTCTTTGGGTTCACCTTGTTATTTGGCTTCTCTAGGCTTGTGACCTATAGCCTTAATGACCATGGTTTATGGCTAGAGTCCACAAATGAGTGAGTACCATATTCATCTTTTTGGGTCTGGGTTATCTCACTCAGGATAGTGTTTTCTATTTCCATCCATTTGCAAGCAAAATTCAAGATGTCCTTGTTTTTGTTTTTGTTTTTTACCGCTGAGTCGTACTCTAATGCATATGTATTCTACACTTTCTGTTCTACTGTGAGCACACCAAGTCTAGTTGGACCGGGTCCGAATGAGCATGTAATCAAACCAGACTCTTTGATTGTGGCTGACAATGGGGGCTGACTGAGAAGCCATTGAAAAAAGCAATGGAACTTATTTTTACCACATGCTCTGGCTTTTTGGGACCCTAGTCTATATGGATGCACAGGTCCCTAGGCCTGGATGTAGGGGGGACGACCTTGGACTTCCCAAAGGGCAGGGTTGCCTGCCCTCTCTCAAGCAGGTAGGAAGAGGGAGGAGAGGGTGTGGAGGAGTTGGAGGGGATAGGGAAGAGGGAAGGAGGTGTAAATAATTAAATGGAAAAATTAAAAAAAAAACTTGATATCTTCCACATTGTGGCAAAAGTCATCATTCCTATATTATACTGACAAACAAAATCAACTTTTGTGTTGTAATTGTTTGTGCTAACCTGCTTTTATGCTATTGTGATTAAATCCTCAAACTGAAAGCATCTCAGGCAGTAAAAGGGATTATTTCATTGATTGTGTCAAATCACACTCAATCATTTTGGAA